ACTGATGAACATTTGGGTGTGTCCACCTTTTGGCTCTTGTGAATAATGCCGCTATCAACATGGGTGTCCAAATCTCTGTCTGAGTCCCTGTTTCCATTCCTGTGGGGACGTTCCCAGAAGTGGAATTGCTGGATCACGTGCTGATTCTCTGTTTACTGTTTTGATGAAAGCTGTCACAGTGTTTCCATGATGACTGCACCATTGACATTTCTACCAGCAACACACAAGGATTCCAGTTTCTCTACATCCTCATCAACACTTACTATTTCATGAGGTTTTGTGTGTGTGATAAGAGCCATCCTAGTGAGTGTGAGGTGGCAGGTCATTGGGGTTTTGATTTGCACTTCTTGCAAAGCAGTGGGCTGTGGCCAGTGGCAGGATGGGCAGAGCTCTAGCGTCGGCCTAGTGATGATGGGACGGGGTGGGCACTAGGGCAGGCTTTCTAAACCATGCAGAGGGGGCCTGGTGAGTACGTGGCCTCTGCCCCTTGCTGGCACCACAATGGGGGCTTCAGTGACACTCACACCATGAACAGCCAGTGGACATGGGGCTTGGAATGGGATGCTGGGGGGAAGGGAGGAACCCCGAGGGGTTGCATTGAGGCAGGAGTGTCAGAGGGTAGTGGACGTGTTCCCTGAAGAAGAGCCAGCAAAGGAAGGCCTGCTGTCCTTGGGCAAGAGCTCCTTGCTGACCAGGCCACGGGTGTCCAGGATCTTGAGGAGTCCATGGCGAAACTTTTGGCCAATGAAGGCGTAGACGACAGGGTTGAGGCAGCTGTGGAGGAAGCTCAGGATCCTGGTGGCTTCCGGGGCCTGGTCAGTGGCATTTCGGCGCTCACAGGTGTCCGAGATCACGTGTGTCTTCCTGAGGGTGTCTGTGAGCAGGACCAGGTGGTAGGGCAGCCAGCAGAGCAGGAAGATGAGGATGACAACAAAAACCACCCCCATGTCCCACTGCCTCTGCCCCAGGTGGGCTTTAATTGGTGTGTGCAGGGTGAATCCATAAGAGAGCAGCATGACCTTCAGCGGCAGGCCAAATCCGAAGATGTGGGGCAGGATTCGCAGCACCACAGGCCATGTGGCTGTGTCCTCATAGTAGACTGGGCTGGAATTGTTTGGCTTATAGGACTGATGGAAAAGGCACAAGGGCGGGGACAGAATCAGAGACAGTCCCCCGATGCCTAGACATACAACCTTTACCAGGTGGCGCTTCTGGGTGAGAGCACGTGTGGCATGGACAATGGCCATGTAGCGGTCCACACTGATGCAGGACAGCAGGAGAATGCCACTGTAGAAGTTGACTTCCTTCAGGAGCGACACCAGCTTGCACAGGGATGTGCCAAAAATCCAGCCATTCACCCTGGAGGTGGCCCAGATGGGCAAGGTCAGGGAGAAGAGCAGGTCGGCCATGGCCAGGTTCAGCAGATAGACGTCAGTGACGGAGCGGCTGACGCGGCCGTACAAGATGACCAGCATCACCAGGGAGTTTCCCAGCAGGCATAGCAGGAACACCAGGGCATAGATGATGACCACGGCATTCTTGTTGATTTCCAGGGATTGTAGCTTGCATGGGGTGTAATCTGGAGGAATACTGGCCAAGTCAGTGCTATAAGGATAATTACTAAAATCTCCATCGAAGAAATCTTTGAAGCTGAAGTTCTCCCAGTTATCATCTTCCATTGTTGAGACAAATTTAAATCCTGGCCTACAGAAAAGAGATGAGAGTGAGTGCACAATAAATCCTGCCCAGAATCTTTCCCGTCCACCCAAGAAACTGGGATAGGATAACTTGCATTGGCTAATATACTACATGGAAGTAACTTTCACTTCAAATGTGTAAGTGGTAGAGGCGCTAATGTTATGAGACAAGTTTAGTGATAAAAGGTAAACTTTATGACAATACTATAGTCCTCTTCTATATCAGAGAGAGATTCTTGGCAGTTTCTGACATCACCATCACGCAAGACTTTCTAGAAAGTTCCCTATGGATAATCCCTACAGAACACGCAGTGCTGCTTGCACCCCTCTGTTGTGAGCATCTTTGCCTGTTTAGGGCGGATTTAGTGTTCAGAAATGTGAAATGCCATTCAGTTCTTACTTTGGGGACTAAGCATGCAATCCAACTCACTTGTACCCCATAGAGAAAGGTCAAGGTTTGCTTACAAAGCTTAGTGTTGAATCCCTTTGTGCAACTTTCTGAAAGTTATTAAAGGAAGTATTCTGGAAAAGGTTTGAGCAATAGTAGCATGGGATTTCTGAAGACTCGAGCTAGAAGCATCTTTTGTCAGTTAACAAGGCCCAGTTTTTCTCTTTGGGGAAGAAGGCCTGATCTGAGAGTATTTGTGTCCTGTGAAGTACTGTAATAGAAATGACAAGCATGTGGCTGACTGATTCTCCAAATGGGTGGGAACATAACAGATTATTTGGACAACTGGGGGCAGCCACGTTCTGCCATGCAGGGTGAGCACAGACAGCCAGTCTGCTCCCCAAACAAGGGGAGG